GCAGATAGATTGCTCTATACATGGCAGTCAAACCAACTTCTCTTGCATCAGAGCGTAAATCCATATATGTAGACTTGAACTTTATCCAAGAACGTTGTGGATTGTTTGAAAATTAAAACAAGAGACTCTTATATGTGTTTGTCAAAACTGTTAGACCTGAAGATGATTGGGTATGTACAATCTCCAAGTACTCTCCCATGTAATGGGAGGCTCACAGATACATTAATAAAGGTAATGTTCACATGTTTCTGCTTATATCCAGATATAACCCCTAGATCATTCGATATAATTAATCTCATTGTTTACTATTTGGTTCCACGTGAGATCTAAAAGCAACTTCTGACTATAGACTTATGCTATAATTTATTACTTACTACTATTTTAACAATTTGGTAGGGATGTTGCTTCATACCTTAAAGAAGATCCATGCATACCTAATCTCTCTGAAGATCTCTCATAGTCTCATCGTATGTTGGGTACCTTGAAGAAGATCCACTCTTACCATGAATTCCTCAAGGAACTCGACAAAACGTTTCTACTCTTGCCATTACCATTGGTTACTGGAAGCTACCTGCATATGCAATACTCAGTGCCATTGTTATGGTGATCCGTGCCGATGACGCTCACCACTGTGACGTCAACCCATTTTGCATGAATACAAACTCTGTAAGTATTCTTTTCTATTTTTGAAAGAATACAAACTCAAAAACCTATCTTCTCTTTGATCATTTTGTATTATTATTCTAGATTATTGGTCTGATTTTGTTCTAATGTTTTCTAGATTTTATAGATAAATGCCACAGTTAAGAAGTTATGGTATGAGCTCATAACAAGTTACTATCTTATATATGAGCTCTTCGTAGGATATTCCGAGCAATGAAGGTGGAGGAGGTTTGTCGACGACGAAGAATTTGAGAAGTGTGATTGTTGATTTTTTTTTGTTGAGTTTGGTTTATATGGAGTCTATGAGAGTGGGATTGGCATGCGATGAGTCAAAATTGAGTCAATGATGTGTACGGATAAATAACCTTCGACAACGTCGAGGAACACTAAATTTGCATCCATGAATCATAAGCAGCGAGCTCCATGATCGAGAACCGGTGAAGCATTTTGTAGAGGAGACATAAGAAACAATGACTGATAGAAGATTAAATGTTCGTGGAGACATGTCTTTACCATGTGGAGAAGCGAGGTTGTTGAGCACGCAAAT